AACACAGGGATGTTTTAGTTACTGTCTACCAGTCCTTACAAAGAGCCAAGGCCTTTTCCCACACCACCCCATTAGCAAGGAGGCTGGGGGTGCACAAGAAGCCAGGACAGGACACACACCTGGGACAGCTGACCCCAGCTGACCCAAGGGATGCTCCATACAATGTGACGTCATGCTTGGCAATAAAAAGCTAGGGAAGAAGGGAGGACATTTGGAGTTAGGGCTTCCCAAGTACCCATTACACATCACAAAGCCCTACTATCCTGGAGATGGCTGGACATCTGCCTGCTGCCGGGAAGAGGTGAATGAATTCCTTGGTTTTCTCTGCTGCTTGTGCAGCTTCTGCTTTAGTTAAATTGTCTTTATCTCAGCCCACGAGTTTTCTCACTTTACCCTTCTGATTCTCTCCCTCATGCCACCAGAAGGGAGAGAGCAAGTGGCTGTGTAGTGCTCAGTTGCCCAGCTCTGGTTAAACCATGACAGCATACTCCCCTCAACTCCTTCTCTGCACTGGTCACAGCTGAGCAGCAGCATTTACAGAAGAAAAAAATCATAACAATACAACACAAAAAAAAAAAAACCCAAAGGCTGACAAAAGTACTGCCCTGAAAACGCCAATTATAATCAGAGCTACATGACACAGCTCAATGGTGCCAAGAATCATCCTCCTCCTTTCACTACCCCCTATCCCCCTCCCTTTATTTTATTTCTATCCCTGAGGGCAAACACTGCCTCAAATCCAGGACTCCTGTATAAAATCTATCTGAACTTAAGATCAGCAGAGAGCAACATGAATCTATTCACAGACCATGCTGAGTAATCTAAACCACTTTTATTTTTAACTTCAAAGAGGCACCCTGGGGTACCTGTCCTCAAAAGAATGAGCCTGAAATGCTGCTCACAAAAAAAAAAAAAAAAAATTAAAAGAAAAATCAAACTCACCAATATCCTACATAAATGAGAAACAACTTGCAGAATCAATCCGACTGAATTTAGTCCCCAGCTTCCAGTATTTGGCTTCATTAACCACCAAAAGCAGGGGCAATTGCTTTCCCTCTTGCTATTCACATGCAACAAGTCACCTAGCTCTCTCATTTTCTACAATGAGTAAAGAATTACAAACATCTCCACAGGACTGGGTTCCTTAGTACATGTTTATTTTCCTGTCTGAGCCTAAAAAGAAAAACATCCCAGCACACAGAGGTGTGCAGTGAGCCACAGCATGCAGCCAACAGCCCAAGGACCACAGAGGCTTTCCTGTTCTGGGCTACAGGAAGGCCAGGGAAATCAGTGGGAGGTGGATAGGGGAGGACCTGTTACAAATAAGCAAAGCAGGTGCACAGTGTTGCCATTTGGACAGAAGGGTACTTCTAAGCTGTAAAGAAATAAGTTTTAAAGCAAACTCTGAAAGGAGGGAGGGTCTGAAACAAGTAAATCAGCACTATTATAGACACCAAAACAAAAATCAGAGGTAATCACTGAATAAATTGAGCCAGCTAAAAGAAACCATTTATTTTAATCAGCAACTTTTGCAATTATCTGGATATTGTTAGAAGTGGCTGTGTTTTTACTTGACCAGACCAAATAAGACTGAAAAGAGCAGGTTTACAGTGGGCTCTTTGTAGCTTCTCCCTCCCTGCCCAGCTATGGCTTTGCAGGGAGTCAAAATGCACCATGCAGGGTCTCCAAGGCAGGACAGGAGGCAAAACGGCATGCAAACAGTGCCCAAACTGACCCAGCTCCTTCTCTCACAGCACTTCTGTGACCTTCCATACGATGAAAATGTATGTTTAGCACAAGCAACTGCAGACAGTTTCTTCAGGCCAGAGCTAGTTGGTGTCACAACCATACATAATGCACAGAAGCCTGATGTGCCCACTTGATGTGCCCACCCCAGGAAACAGTCCAAAGGTAAAAAAACCTTGCAGACCTGCTGCACAAGCACAGGCTTTAATAACAAAAAGACTGGTTTTGTTGATGTGCTTGGAGGACCTTCCTACTATACAAGGGGGATCAGATTTTTCTGATACAGCCTCTGGTAAGTCCAATAACTTTCGTCACGTTGAAGTAAACTTACACAGGCTGCAAAGCAAAGTCCAAATTTAGTGTGTAACAGGAGAAATTCCCAACCTGAGCTATGAAAAAGGCAGCATTTCCATGTTCCATTGGCAGGGAGAGAGACCATTCTCAGAGCTCCATGGCCATGGGGACCTCACAAGGACTTTACTCATGCTCCACCAGATGTAACTGCAGGTTTAAGAGCTGACTGCACAACTGTTGCAAGCCGCC